GGAGATACTGCCATGGAAAAATAAATACAAAAGAATACTGCACTGTGACTTTATGTTACCAAAACAACATTTTCTTCAAAACAACATTTTCTAAGTGGAATATGTGATGAATGGTTTCCTTTAGTAGACAGTGTTTTGAAGGCCCACCAGGAGCCTGAACAGAGTAACCAGCAGAGGGCAGCTCTCCTTGTTCCTTCTTTAAATAAACTTGCCCACCAAGCATCATTCTGTTTGGAGACAGAAAGTGCAATCCTGCTTGTGTGGATTCTGGTTGATACATTAACCATCTCTCCCGAGGGCAGCAGAAATCAATCTGAACCTGCATGTTAAAACTATCAGCCTTTATCAAAGGCAGGTCAAATACAAGGAATGCTAGAAATAGGATAGTCTACTACTTCTTAGGCCTGCTCTCTTTGTTTTCTTCATAGTTCTCATTCCATTCACTGCTTTGTATTTTATAACCCACCATTAAAATGTCTGTATCTACAATCTCTCTCTTTCCTCCACTTTCCCATGATGTAATCACTAGCTGCAGACAGGACCGGGCCCTGAAAGTGTGGCTACACAAGGGAATAAGGCTCCCCCCATCTGTGTAGCTGGATTGCGGCTGGAGTGTTGGAGGGAGAGCAGGGTCTGTGCACCTGGTGCTCTCCCCTGTGAGCAAATGTTGTAGTGCTATTCCCTTACTGACATCAAAGGTGAGTAATACCATCTCACTATCACTGCCACTAGAACAGGAATAGCACTATACTGGAAAGTACAGGGGGATATATTATAATGCAAATAGAAAAGACTTCAATGCCAAAGAAAGAAATCCAGACTCAAGAGAAATTAATCTCCATTTATGCTACATTCCAATTCAAACAGAACAAAATGCTACCCTAAAGATTTGCATTGGGACTATTAGGGAAACATTTCACACCCAGGGCATTAATCCCAGATATTATAAACATTATATATAGTTGGTAACTGGCATGTGGCCTCTACTACAATCCACCTGTCTACCCACCTATAGCGCCTCAAAAGAGTCTGCCTAATTGTATAACACTTTCTTTTCCTGGACACTCTGAATAGCTTTAAC